GTGCAAGGACCCGAGGAGACAACTTCGGTGATGATGGGTGATGCAAAGTTTCCAGCCAGCCTCGCGTTTCCCGTCACGGGCTGCTCGGTGCCAGTTGCAGCCACTTACAAAACCTACAGTCAGTGCTAATGCAGTACATACCGACGTACTGTGAGCACTACCTACCTACCTACCTACGGTAGGTACTCACTCGTATTACTAGGTACCTGCCCAGGTACCTTAGGTATCTAGATACCTAGTAATGAGCCCATGCCTTCCATCCGCAGTCTACTGCCGCCAACGCACCGCTGTCCATGGTTGGCCGGCGGTGGGTCTGGTCCCAAGCTTTCCGTCTCTCTACTCCGGTGCACCGCAGTGCTGTACTGTACTATATCCGTACTGTACTATAATACTGTACATGGAAACGTGGATGGCTTGTTAAGCCCCGTATCCGTACATGCTGTAATGTCGCGTCAGGAGCAGCGCTCGACATGTATTGTATGCGTGTACAGTACAGTACATGAATGCTGCGCCCCGCGACGGGTTCCATGGCAGTTGTCCCCCATGATATCGTACGACGACACGGCACGGCAGGCCAAATATCGGTGACGGGGACTCTCGGAGTCGTGGGCCTGGCTCGTCGCTGAGGGGAGGGGGCCTTTACGTACGTACGAGAACGGCAAGCGCCAATCCGCCCTTGCGAGTCGCCAACCACCGGTTTCCTTGCTGGCGTTGGTGGTGCTGACGGCCGGGGCCAACCTTGTGCCTGTTGATAGCCGCGCCTTTGGGAGGCCACAGGTCCAACGGGCTGCTCCACAGTGACGCCAGCCAGTGTCGCGACGACGTGTGGGAAAGCCAGCGCCGAGAGCATGGACACGGGTTGTCGGCGGTACTGCCCTTGGTGCTCCAAGTGCTCTAGCCCTCGCGCCCGGCATGGGTGATGGAGGGAGGCACACATCATCCCCGTCGGCCTGGCCCCAACAACCCACCCAGTGGCGAACCTGCTGTGTTCGTAGGTAACCTGCCTAGCCGGGCCACTTGGTACACAAGTCAAGCCTTGCGCGTGATTGACCCAACAGTAACTAACTCTGTAATAGTAGGCTGGGGGCATTGCGAGACGGCGACGTGCGTGCCCGTGCCTCTGGGGGCTACGCCCAAAATGCACTGCGTGGCTGCTGGCATCCTAAAGCCCGGGTGGGAGTGCACTGTACATACACGCCTATAGCACGCGTCTTCAACGGCAGGCCTCGAGTTTAATAAGTTAGACTACCAAGGAGGCATGCATGTCCAGCTTGCAGCCGGCCGGCCCATCATGACGCGCGCTCCTAGGGGCAATGTAGGTGCAAAGCAGATCTGCATACCTCCTACCAAGAGCGAGGGCTCATTGAGCTAGCACTTGCGAGCCACCCAGTCTGGACTTTGCTGATGCAGTAGAGCATCCTATCGAGTATAGTGGCCAGCTTTATCAGTCGCCGTGGACCAAGGTGCAAAGAGTCTATAATGTACTGTACATGGCTCATATGGATGGCTCGAGGACGGAGCATCAACGAAAAGGCTCCGGTTGATATTGTGGGTGCCCTCCTTGAGGACGGACGGGACTCTTGGTCCGAATACCTACAGTCGGGCGGGACTTGCAAGGGGGCAAGGGATCATGGCGCTTTGGCACATGAGCTAAGCGTAGAGGGGAGCCCTGCAACGGAGTGCTTCATCGAGGAAACGGCCGAGCATGCCTCGTTGTCCGGATGGCTTTGGCAAAGGGGCGGGTGCTCGGATACGGGGGAAGCCTCAGCTCTGCCCCCGGCCTGGACAGTGCAGGTCGCCATAGGGAGGTGTACCTTGCAGCCGGTGCCTGAGGAGTGAGGGATAGGCACTATTGTACTGTGCTATTTTGCGGTGGGAGGAGCTGGCTGCTTCGCCTCCGCAGTCTTGGCCAACGTCCAAGCGCGTCTGGGGCGTGGCGACTGTGAAGACCGCAAGCGACATGCATTCGAAAAGCCGTGCGAGGTGGACAGAGACTTGGCGGCTTGAGTTTGGCACAGTGAGCTGCGCGGAGATGGACAGGTGCTTGTATCCGTAAGTTACCTGGGCAAGTACGGAGTACAGTAGCTGAAATGAAGCGACTTTGGGGCTTGGCTTTCCTTTGCCCCCGTACAGTGCTCGGTGCGTCGGGCTCCATTGTCAAATACCGAGTACCGGCCTAGGGGGAGGGACCTGAGCTGAGCAGCTGAGGTTGCTTCGGGTTATTTTTTCTGGCAGGCATGGAGGCAGGCTGTCTTGCAGGAAGGAGGGGCAAGGTACCTGCCGGCCGGTGATGGGTTCCTTTTTCTGCCAGCAGTCCACTCAGCCCGCGCGCGCTCCTGCTGTAAGTTGTAACACCTGCTTAGTATTTGCCCCCTGTTTCTAGGCCGACCCTCTCGTCCCCCACCTTGATTGAGGCATCATCTCTGCAGACCCTGCGGCCCCCGTCGGTAGCGCTGCGAGTAAAACACATGCATCAACCCACAGGGTACGGATACAAGGAAGTGGAAGGTGTTTCCATGCATGCACCGACCTTTTCGCAGCCGACGAGGCACGGCCTACTCCGTGCCGGGGCGCCATTGGCAGAACAAGCCGGCCCCATGCTGGCAGATATTGAGAGTGAAAAAACCTGGGCAAGACAAATCTCGGCAGAACGAAGCATTTGAGGGTTGAGATCCATAGGTACCCACCGCTGTTGTCAGTTGACTGAGCCATGCACTGGCGTGCCTCGGCCTTGGAGCCATAGGCTCGCGTGCAGAGGGACGGGAGACAAGACAGCCGGCGAGGGAGGCGACGACGGAGGCGACGACGGAGCGGGCGACGTGCTCTGTCCCGCCGCCTTTCCTCTTACAGCGCAGAGTGGTGCAGGCCTTTCCACGACGAGCAACACACTCTGGGCTCTCGCTGTTGGCCGGCGCTGCGTTGATGCTGCGTTGATTCCGCGGCTCGTTTCCCCGTTGTCCGAGAGGAGGGTTGGCTGGCTTGGCACTCGGTCTGCTCCACCACGCCCTGGCGTCGAATTAACGACGGCGTCTGCCCCCTTCTCCCGCCTGCGCAATGCGCGGTGCACTGTGCGAGCACAGCTGACTGGCTCGCAGTCTGCCCGAGTCTCGGCACTGTACATGTGGCTGCTGTGGCACTGTCCCTCGGCACTGTCCCTCGCCCAAGGACTCACTCACATCAGGCATGTGGCACAATCTCCGCGCGTCTACTGTCCTTGGTATGGATACGCACTGGATACAGAGTACACCCGTGCAGTGCGTCCGTCCTCGCGGCTAATCAGGAGTCGTCCATGTTTGAAGTCGCGAGACGCCCGCCCTCTTCTCCCACCCATCCGCTCTTCCCACCACCCCCTGCAGTGGGTCATTCCCGGCCAAGGGGTCCCTCACCCGAGCCCAACAAGGCCTCCCGACCCTCCCTTTAGTCCGCCTACGCCCCCTCCGACGGCCTGAGACTGGCCTGTTCGCCCGGGGTGCCATGAAAGAATGGATCCTTCTTCATCCCTTCCAAACGGGGCGGCGCTGCATGCACTTTGGGCGGCAAGGATTGACATGTTGGCTGTTGCGGCTGCTTTTTTTGCATGCAGGCAGCACTCCAGCGTCTGGGTTGTCGGCCGGCTCCTTGACGATGCACGTCTGTTTGGAGCCTGCTCCCTTGTACCTCCTTTGTACGGCCAAAGGGACATGCCCCTGCCCAGCCAGCCAACCCCCAAATGTCGCGAGAGAGCCCGCCTTGGTTTCGAGGGCGGCACCAACAGGATGCCCGATGTCCTCATCAGGACTACCTACTCTGTGCTGACTGTGCCGAGTACATGGCACCACATGACTTGACTGACCGCAGCCACTATCGGCAAGACTACCTACCTACCACCGGCCTCGAAAATGCGTATGAGCATAACAAACACACGCCGGGACAACGACCACCACCCTGCCCCCTCCTTTCCCCGATTTTTTTATAAAAAAATTAAACAGGGTGCTCCTCCCGGCCAACCAGCCAAGCGTCTAGACAACGAGCTTCTCGCCATTGGAAACCCCGATATATCCATGGTCCAAGGATGCATCGAGCTCCATGGCCGGTGGCGCACTCGTGAAGCGACTCTGCCCGTCTGGGTACAGTACAGTACATGTGTACACAGTACGTGTGTAGGCGGCTCGAGTCCAGAGCGGACAACAATCGTGGACTGACTTGTCTATCCCACTCCGGCGCGCTATTGTCTCTCGGCTCGGCCGTTCCCCCCTGGAGATGGCCACCCCTTCTTTAGCCTTTCCAGACTGGAATCCGTCCGATGAGACACCCTTGCCGAGCCCCATCCTGTGCAGCTCACTCACCACAGTACAGTACAGGCCGTGGACGTGCGTTTGTATGACGCACCGCTTTGTCGTCCTACACACCCCCGTTCCTTTTCCCGGGCTGCCACAGGCAAATACCACCCCCTTTCTCCCCCCCCCCGAGCGTCCCAGCCAGCGCCCATCTGGCTGCTACCCCAGCAGAGCACCACGGCTAACCTCCATGCAGGCGAGCGCTGCTGTGGAGGCAATCCATGCTCGGCAGGTAGGTATGGACTGCAGACGAGGATACGTACCCCCTTGATGCGGCGATCGCTTTGGCTTACAGCAATGCAACCCGCACGTTTGGTTCATCACCAGCGCCAAAACCGACCATGTCATGTCATTTATTATCCTGTCTCTTGCCGGCCCACACCCAGATCCATGGTGGTGATTTGGATCTCGCTCAGACTACTGAGCTGGCTTGATTTATCCTTCGAAGCTGCGAATGGAGTTTGTTTCTCCTCGATCCCTCAGAACCCACCCCCTTGACCGGCCTTCTTTGTCTCGAGATGCTTATAACCTAGCCGACCTCTCCACCCCTCGACACCTCGGCCTCGACGACTGTCTATATATCAACTCGTTTGGTCCTCGTCGACCTACACACCTCCAACACCTTGTTCCTTGGCCCATCATCTCCAACCCATTCTTGTGCAAGATATCTCCTCGTCAACCACCATGATGTACCCCGCGTATGGGGGGCTCGCTCCCGACATTCTCCCCATGTCTCATCCTCATGACGCCTTTTTCGATCATCCATCTACCCAGATGGCCATTTCACAACCCGCAAGGAGATCGTCCCGGAGCACAATCGGGCAGCAGCGGTCAGGCTCGGCCATGCGGGTCAACAAGCCCAGCAGCGCAAACAACAGTCCCAGATCCTCGACGTCGGCGAACCGGAGGCGGACCATGATGGTTGATTGTTCGACGCCATATCGGCAACGCCAAGTCATGGACTACTTTGGTGTCACTCATGGCAACGACGTGGCCATGCCAACCAAGCAGACGGCTCGTCCCCTCAGCTGGCATCCCACCTCCTACATGCACCAGGCGCAGTCGCTGCGTCAACACCACACCAGCTATCCCCTGCCGGCCTCCAACACATATATCGACGCTCGGGACCAGCACTCTACCCACCAACCTCACTTCTCCCCTGCCATGGCCTCGTACTCGAACGACACATCGCCTTGCTCCACCTTTTCCCCTTTACCGCTGTTTCCCGGCTACGACGACAGCACGAACGTGCAAGCCGATGCGTGGGACTTTTCGCAGAGAGCGACCCCCTTCTACCCGTCTTCCATGGATGGCCGGTCCATGCCAGATCAGTTCCATGCCCTGGGCGGCGCCATGGACCAGAGGATGGCGGTAGGCGGCGCCGCGGACTGGGAGGCCTTTATCATGCAACGATACGACAACACGTCGCCCCCTACGCCAGAGACGTTTCCTCAGATGCAGCACTCGCAGCCAGCCGTGTCCGAAGGGAATTTAGCCTACGAGGCTCTGGACAAGGCAGAGGAGGAGGGGGAGATACTCGTCGGGATGGGCTTGTACGATGCGCCAGACAAACTCGAGGAGGATCCGCAGCTGAACAACTACCGCTCGACTGTCTCGTCCTTGCTGGGATCCTCATTCCGGCCGCATGAGCCGCGAGGAAAGGGCCTGAAGCTGGAAGAGACATGGGAGCCGCCTAAGTCGGACGACGGGGAGGAAGACGACGACGATGATGATACGGAAGAGACGCAGAGCAACGACGATTAGGCAACTTTGCTCGTGTGTCGACTTTGGCAATGATGACGACTAGCGGGCGACTGACTACTCTGAAACTGTACACTTATATCGGCTGCCATGACGGTCATGGAGACTCTGGCAGGAAGAAACGGCGGGGTTTGGGACATAGGTCAAGGCGGCGGCAGAGGCGGATGAGCCTCGGATGGGATGGATACCCGGTAGAGTATGAGGAGGGGCAGTTAAGATTAGGCCAGCGCAGAGCTTTCAGCCACAGAGAATACACCAGTGTATGTTGAGTCAAAGGCTGCTTCGCACCGCAAGCGTGAGGCGAAGGGACTGGGCTCGGCAGTAGTCGATGAGAGGAACCCGTCCCCCCACTCCCCGTAGGCGATGAGTTGGAGGCTTGTGCCGACGGATGACGATATCCACCCAGTACGTCTACGTCAATAGGTCCAATCAGGGTGGATGCGTGTCTGGTTGAGGCTCCTGTCGGTGAGGAGACGCGGATTCCCCTAGACCTTGCGTCTTTATTGACCTTGATATTGGGAGTGGGGAAGGGAGGGAAGGAAAGGGGGGGGGGTGCCGACTCTCGGATCGGGATACGCCACGGGAAAGGCTAGGACTTGGGCGATACGATGCGAAGCAAGTTTTCTCTTAGTTCATTGCGAGACGTGTGATGGTGCCGGGCATACTCGGTACGGAAGGGTGGAGTCGGCATGGGGCGCACTAGGGCCAAAGTATGCCGAGAGCGAGAGAAACGGAGAAGAAAAAGAAGCAGAAAAAGGGAGCTAAAAAAAGAGGAGGATGGGAGTGGGGAGGAAGAGGCAAAAGCCAAGCAAGAAGTAGGAGCCCCACCGGGATCCCTGTCAGACATGTGTCCCCGTTGGCGGGCCCGTGCACGCGTGCTTTGGGGTATGGAGGTGGGAGGGACGGATCCGCAAGAAAAGGGGGGAGGGGTGGGAGGGATGAAGGTGAGGGGGGGCGTGAGGATTTGTTGACTCACGAGGCATCGTGACAGCCTAGGCACCCGTTGGCCCTCATTGGCGTCCTCCGAGTAAGAGTCCCAACTGGGAATGAAAGAAGAAAGAGTCAAGAGCAGGAAAAGAAAGCAAGCGAAAGTGGAAAGTGCTGGCACCCCGCCAGTTCCATTGTCGCATTCCTCGACATGCATTGGAGCATTGCACATGGAGATTTCGTACGCTCCACATTGGACGGACACAATGCTGCGACAGTGCATGCCGGGCCCGGCACAGAGGCGGGCTCGTAAGTTGCAGTACTGACTGTCTTTAGTCAGGCAGGCCCTGCGCTCCACCACCACCGAGACTGCTGCAGCAGGGCAGCACGGTTTGGGAGTGCGACGGCTCCCTCGTATACTCCGTAATGAAGCAGCAAACATGCTCATATGTACATTACGTTTTAGGGATTGCGCGGCCGACCCGTCTGGGGGCTTGCACGTCGGCGTCACTCTGCCAAACGGCGCCATGCGCATGTATGTACTGTGACTGTACGGAGCTTGCGTGTGCACGGGGCTGTCTTTCCGGCATGACAACTAACGAGCCTACTGGAAGAAAAAGGGGGGAAGAAGGAGGGAAGAAGGGGGGAAGAAGAAGGGGGGGTCCCCCCACCAGCCACGCCGTGCCACAACCTCACCCCTTCTTGTCCTCGTCGGGTTTTCCTTCTGCCCGGGCAGATGCTCCCTCGTTTGTTTTGTCTTTGCCCATTCCCGGCTTCCTCTGCCGCCCCCCCCGCCCGCCGCCTGACCCATATCGACCTGCGACCGCACGAGAAGGACTACGCCAGCTAGGCACCACTGCGAGGCACAACTGCTAGGCGCAACTGCTGGGCACAACTGCTAGGCAGCACCACTCACTGCCAACCAGCGCACGCACTCCCTCCCTCCCTCCCCCGACGTCGCCGAGCCGCCGCATCATCGCCGCCGCCACCTGCATGGTCGAGCCATCATGGTCCGCTACGTCTTCAACTGCTGGCGCGACCACGGCGAGATGATGCTCGTGAGACGCCAGTTTTACCACGACCGCCTGTCCGACGACGGCGACGACGACGGGCCTGATGCGACTGAGCCTGCGACTGAGCCTGCGACTGAGCCTGTGACCGAGACACGCCGCCGCCAGCAGCAACGAGAGCGCCGGCAGCGGGCGGTGGCGCGCGTGTCCATGTGGATGACTCGCCAGCACTGTCCGCACATGGTGGAGTCGACTGCCCTGCTCACTGCCGCCCTCCTCAGCGACGACGACGCCGGCAACCACAATGCATGGTCGACCTACGCCGTCCGAGCCACCTATGCGGCCGCCTTTAGTAGGTGAGCAGAAGCCAGCACGTCGACGCCCGCACGCTGTTTCAGCACCGGCCAATGCCTCCCGATGCTTGCCCCTCCCTGTCCCCCACCACCCTGGCCTGCCTACTTGGCTGTTCACGATTCCCCCACTCGTCGCCTCTGCCACACACGCACGACGCGAGGGGGGGCTGTGCACAAACAGCGCCGTCCTGCCTTCTTATGACTGACCATGGGCCACGACAGATTTGTGACGGGCCTGCTGGATGGTCACCAGGACAAACAGCGTAAGCAGAGCATGTACGCCGTCGCCAAGAAGATTGGCCTGCCCGCCACCTTTGTCGAGCTGAGGCACCAGTCAACCCACGAGCAGCTGCCGTCCCGCGCCAAGCTGCGTTCCATGGCCAACAAGGCCCTGGCCTGGATATGGAACTACTACTGGAAGAACCTCGCCGACGAGGCCACGCCCCGCGCCCACCCGTGCCGTGGAGCCATCCTCAGGTATCTGGAAGGCGACGATGACGACGCGCGCCGGGGCAAGACGCTCAAGGAGCTGGGGCACTGGGACGCCGCCCTGGTGCTGGCGACTATTGCCGAGCTGCAGGAGACGCTGCCCGGAAACCAGGTCTTTCTGAAGTGCCTCAAGCTGTCCAAGGAGGTCACCATGGCACGAAAGGACGCCGGTGGCACGCCTGCTGGCCGGGAAAGTGCCCCGGGCCAGTCACAGGCGACGGCGGTTGCCGCCGACGAGCCGCAGAAACCCGAGCCCCAGCCGCAATCCGAGCCCGAGCCTCACGCCGAACCCGATCAAGGTTCGGAGCCCGACTCAGGTTGGTCTCTCTACGAGGGGCCGTGGAAGCCCAAGCCTATCGGCGTCGTGTAGAAGTTTCTTCACTTCCCGTCTCCGTGTTGTTCACTCTGTTTTACTTGATACCCTGCTGAATACGCAGATGTTGACGAGCCTTGAGACTGGTTGGAACGCTCGGTGGATCTTATATGCGTAGATGTGTGCCGTAATTAATGCATGTCTGTATGCCGTCATCTCCCCGCCTGTCGTAGTTGGCTCATTACTAAGGCATCACGTGCCGGCGGGAATAACGTCACAAGTCCGAGGCGGCTTTACCCGGCCGGGGTTGAAGAAGCTTTGCCGACGACCATTCCTCGTGCCCTTGACTCTGCGCCTATGAATCGATTCATCCCGCGCAGGCCGTTCCTGAAGCAGAAACTCGGCATCTTGACCGCAGCTGTGAGTTGTTTCGCAGCGGCTCGTATTGTCGAGTCGACGCTGAAAAGAATGCCCGTCAGAAGCTCGCTGCCCCCCGCACCATGCATATCCAGTCGATTCCCATGTGTAGGTGTCTCTCCCAACCACGTTGCCGTGCCACGCCCATGCCGCTCTGCCTCTGACGCGTCCGTGTGTTGCCACCTGAAGGGACCGGGAGTAGCAACAACTACGCCTACCTGGTGGTCGACGACAAGTCCAAGGATGCCGTCATCATTGATCCGGCAAACCCGCCTGAGTACGCACGCCCGCGCCGGCCGAGGCTGTGGAACCGTTGCGCTGATGATGGGGGCTGGGTATCGGCAGGGTTGCGCCCGTCTTGAAGGAGGCTATCCAGGCGGGCAGGATTAAGCTGACGGCCATTGTCAATACGCATCAGTCAGTGCTTGGCCCCTTCTGAGCTGCGGGGTGACGAGGTTCCTGACGGGCGGGATGGCAGTCACTGGGATCACGCTGGCGGGAACAAGAAGCTGGTAAGCCAAGGGCCGCCCGGCATCGGAAGTCTTCATTGAGGAGGTAGATGGCTGATTTTTATCCCGTCATGGCTTCGTCGTAGCTGGCGGAGCTGGGCACCCCTGGCCTGGACATCATCGGCGGCAAGGACTGCGAGGGCGTGACCAGGACGCCCTCGCACGGGGAGACGTTCAAGCTGGGCAGCATCGCCGTCAGGGGCGTGCACACGCCGTGCCACACGCAGGACAGCATCTGCTTCTTCATGGAGGACGAGACGGGCCGGGCCGTGTTTACGGGCGACACGCTCTTTGTCAGCGGTACGTTGTTGTCTTCTTCGCCCCTGCTCTTATTCAAGGCTGTGCGCATGCCATTGTTTGGGGGCAGCGGGTGTTTTTTCCGGGCCTTGGCGTGTGGTCTGTTTTGGACTGGATGGCTAATGGTCGGCGTGCGTGTGTACACGTGCATAGGCTGTGGCAAGTTCTTCGAGGGCTCGGCGGCAGAGATGCACGAGGCGCTCAACAAACGGCTCGGCGCCCTGCCGGACGACACCGTCGTCTACGTAAGCCACGTCCACACCGGGGCGTCGCGTCCACGGAGCCAGGGCTGACGGCGAGCATCTGTGTCAGCCGGGACACGAGTACACCAAGTCCAACGTCAAGTTCGCCTTGTCGGTGCAGCAGAGCGAGGCCGTCAAGAAGCTGCACGACTTTGCGGCCAACAACGTCGAGACGACGGGCAAGTTCACCATTGGCGACGAAAAGGTCCGTCCGTCCTTGGGAGTCCGGGGGGGCAGCCGTGCGTGGTGGGATGGAGGAAATGCTGACGCGGAGAATAGAAGCACAACCTCTTCATGAGGGTCGACGTGGGTTTTGACCTTGTTCGGCTGGACTGTGGCGTGACTGACGGGTGTGTAGGACCCCGAGATTCAAAGGGCCACGGGCGCCACGGACCCCGTCGACGTCATGGGCAAGCTACGCGAGATGAAGAACAACTTCAAGTGAGGACAACAGGGGCAGCAAGCGTGCCGTTCGTCGTTGACCTGCCGCTCCGCCGCAGGCCCCCCGAGGCAAACATGTAGACGGACAGGTCTCCTCCCTTTGCCCCACGACGGAGGAGCTGGTTGCGCCACTCCCCGGGCTCACCTCACGCCGCAGCAGCACATGAGAGAGGGGGGCAGAGAAAAGAGAGAAGAGCAGGGGGGGAATAAAAACACCACTCTGCATTGACATCGCTACCACACGTAATCATCATGTCTCCATGGACCGCTAGGCGCCCCCGTGACGGGACGGCGCCGGCATGCAGCCCGGCTGGAAAAGCCACGGCCCGCGAAACGGGCCGCAGCTCTGGGGTTTCCCTCTTGCTTCATTGTCCACACTTGCGCGCCCTGGGGGTTTTTGAGGAGGCGGCAAGCTCTAGCATAATTTGAAGCGGTGCGATATCCATCTCTTCCCTTCCACCCACCGCCTCTTTCCCGGGCCCGACGGGGTGTAGTCGCGCGAGAGACAGACGGAGGGCGGATGGGGATGGTCACCAAGTCCCATCCCATCACATCCCATCCCTCCGCGCCGGCGAGCAGCAAAGAAATCCTGAGCTGAGAGCGAAGAGACTCATCATCTCGGGGGAGCAAGCAACAGGGCCCGGCGCCAGCAAAGCCGGCAGGAAAAGAAAAGCCGTCGACGCCAGCCAGATAGGAGCGGAGGGGAACCTGACTTCAGGGCCTCGAGGACGCGGCGCCGTGCTGCTGCTGCTGCCGTGGCCGCGTTGCTCGCCCGGATGTGTGCATGTTGGAGAGGATGAAGGAGAGAAGAAGGAAGCGACGAGCAGAGATTGCGGGTGGGCGTCTTGGGGAGAAATGAGCCGTTTGTGGGCCGTCGCTCTCGGCGGCGGGTTAGTCCGGAGACTCAATCGTTGCTTTGTTGAGACGGAGCGGCTTAGTCACGTATCAACCACCAACTAACTGGGCCTCGCCACGCCACAAAAGGTCTTGATTGGTTCGCGGATCCGCAAGCAATAAAAACTGGCCGAATAGGAATTGGCATAGCATCGTCCGCCATTTATACAGTTGACTCTATAGGGGTATATTGGAGATCCGTGCTCTATACATGGACAATCTCCGCCATGCAATGCTTTTCCCTCGTGGTTCTTGAAAGGCGCAGCTTCGCACCTAGCCAGCCTCCTTTTTCCCATCACTTCCCATCACGGGCCTTGTGTCTGCTCGTGGTTCCCTTGCCTCACAGCACCGTCTTCTCAATGAGCTCGATGCCGTACTTTTCCTTCAGCTCCTTCATGATGGGCGCGTTGATCTCGGTCGTCATGGGAGCCAGGACGCCCTTCTCGGACAGTGTTCCGTTCAGGACCCGCTGGACGGCCACGGCGCAGGGCACGCCGACGAGCTTGGCCATTGCCGAGTAGCCCTTGGGGTCGCCGTACTCGACGAGCGTCGACGTGCGCGTCTCGCGCGATCCGTCCTTGTGCTCAATCTCGAACTTGTGCTGCAGCAGGACCATGTCCCGCTCGTCCTTCTCAAACTGCATCTTCTGCTCCAGCGTGGCGCAGAGCGTGTCGAGCGGATTGCCGCGGGGCGTAATCTTGTCGTCTGAAAAGATGCCGATCCATCGCAGGCCGCTGAGGATCCGCTCCTTGTCCTCGGGCGAGTCAAAGGTCGACCGGGCGACAATGGCGGCTTCCAGGTCGTGGGGACTCGATGATGGGGCGCCGACAATGGCCTTGGTAGCCTCCTTCCACGAGACGGAAGTGCTCAGGATGTCTTGGGGCACGTCTTCGAGGAAGCCAGTCTCGACGAGGACGCGGATGAACTGCGGGAAGCCCTGGTATCGCAGCGTGCCCCGGACAATGGTCTGGGCCTCGGGGATACTGTAGCGCTCCTTGTAGGGTGTGGAGTCGCGGTTGGGGTAGGCAACAAAGGCATAGCCCGGGTAGATGAAGTAGGGCTTGGCCGTGTCCATGAGATCCTTGGAGGCAATGTCGACAATGCTGCCGCCCTGGTAGATCTTGGCGGCGTTTCTCAGGGCCAGCAAGACGCCGCGAGAGGACCAGGAGAATTTGTAGCCCAGCGGGTTGTCGGAGGCCTCGGGGGCGGGCAAACCGCCGCAGTATGAGAGAAAGGACAGGATCTTGCCGCCGGCCTGGTGCACCTCGTCGATGGTCTTGACAGCGTCTGAAAGGGTCAGTATCGTATGCTCGTTTCACATGCAGCATTGATTCTTACAGAGATGATCAATGCCCGGATCGAGGCCAATCTCATTCATGACGGTGATGCCGGCGTCCTTGCACTGCTGGTCGAGCTCCATCATGGCCGGGGAGACGTAGCTGGTGGTGACGACATTCTTCTTGTTGCGAATGGCCGACTTGATGACGGTGGCGTGGAAGGTATAGGGGATGAGGCTGATGACGAGGTCGTGCTTGGCCACCTGTGCGTCGAGAGCCTTGTCGTCGGAGACGTCGAGGGAGATGGCCGTGGTGTTTTGGACGCCGGCCGACAGCTTCTTGGCGGACTCGAGGGTTCGGCAAGCTAGGCGTGGGGACATACATGAGCACGTCTCTGTTGCCGCCAAGGCTTTGAAAGGAGGCGTCTCGCAACTTACCGACGGTGACGGGGATGCCGGCTGCGGTGAGAATGTCGAGCGTGGGGCGAGTGACGAAGCCCGCGCCGAGCATGAGAACAGACCTAGCCATTGGGGCGTCAGCAGAAGAGGACGAGACGCCGTTGCAGCCAGGGCCACTGACTGTTGGCGAGCCATGGCTTGTGCGAGTGTCGAGGCGTCGTCGATTGGATTCTGGGCAACGATGGGGATGGACGAGGGGGATGGACGATGGGGTGATGCAGGAAGCGAGCTACAGGAGGGGCACAGCCGTGGGGCAAATGCGTGCTTTATAGGGCCTATTTGGGGCCAGTGCGGGGTGGGCCTTGAGAGCGAGGCCGGCCGCCCACTGGAGGGCAACTTGGTAGGTGATGCTTGAAGCGCGGGGAACGAGTCAAACGGTGGGAGGGAGCAGAGGGAAGCAGAGGGAAGCAGAGGCATCCTGCCTGCCTCGACTAGAGTTCCGCCTGCGTGCCTTCCCGTGGATTCTCGACATCTCACCGAACAGCTACTCCGTAATACCTTCCACCGTATAGTTACATGGGCTCCGGAAAGCGGCCCGGACTTTGGCCGACCCCGGCCGGAGTCGATACTGTAAGTTACTGTATCGACTAAGTTGGCAATCGGCCTCCCGCGACAGACAAGTCCACCACCAGCATACATTTTACCGCGCGGCCCCCTTTGTCCCGGCATGAATTTCTCATTACGGCTCTCACGCTCATCATGCTGGATAAGCTCAAAGTCAAAAGAACCGAATGTGTACGACTCTACCTGGGTACACGCACAAGCATCATGAGATGCCAGTTGCAACAGCCCAGACCTGGATCCAAAGCCAAACTCTAGACTCCCTGTTACCCGCAATCCCTCGGCGGCAGTTGACCAACTCATCCAATTCATATCACACCCCGAAAGTTGGGGGAAAGTACAATGGCGACAATGCTGGCCTAGTCTGCTGGTGCGACGGCAAGAGTCGTTACCCCGGCCGCTTGCTGATACCAACAGTCGCCTGAGTTTCAAACAGCCGTCGTTATGGCCGTCGGTTACATCCTCCCCGCCCTCTTATATCGGCCAATGCCATTCATCACAAGGGCTCTGTCTTCATTTCTTCTCCGACTTGCCGTCTTCCCCCTTCCCTGTCCCTTGCAACCGCGCGGAAAGCCTTGCAACTGCGGAAAGCCGGCCAGCTACAGAGCCAATTCAACGCATCAGCAGCCTCATGAGCCGCCGAGACAGCCATGGTCCACCAATCCCAACGGCCATGGTCCTGTGACCGATGCCACGCCCTCAAGGAACGCTGCCGCTGGACGCCAGGCTCCTTCCACTGCGAACGCTGCTCCCGCCTCGGCCACCTCTGCCAGCGCGTCCGCCCCCTGCGGAAGCCCGGCCGCCCGTCCCGAGATTCCCTGCGTCTCCGAGCCGGCGCCGGCCCTCTGTCCAACAAGAAGTCGTCCAACGGCCGCGCCGGCCAACCACCATCAATACCGTCACCCGTGGCTCTCTACTCGCACCGGAGTTCCAGCAGCGCCTCGCCCACGGACCGCCTCGCCACCGTCGCCCAGACCAGGGCCCCGCTGGTCCGCAATGTCAGCGTCAATGGCGACCTGTCGGGCCTTGACCTGCGCCTGCTGGACCGCATCCTCTTCCGTGACGATTTTCTCGAGCAGTTCGTCGTCGGCCCCAGCTTCTGCGAGTCGCACCGCAAACTCCTTGTCTCCCGTCTCCTTTCCTGCAAGCCCGCCCTCCAGGACTCCTACCTGGCCTTCGGCCTGTTGTGGAGCCACGAGCCCAGCTTGCTGCCCGACGGTCGTCAGCTCAACGACAGCTTTAAGCGCGCCTCGTCGGCCCTCTCCACCCTGCGCTCCTTCCAGGTCCGCGACGCCCACGACGTCTCCGTGTGCCTCGTCCTGGGCCTCACCATCCTCAGCTTCGCCACGAAACTCGGCGCCACCGACGCCCGCACCATCTGCAACCAAACCCTCAGCCTCGTCAAGCCCATCTACAAGTCGAAGCCCTGCCCCGACCCGGCCGACTATGGCTTCATATACTGCCTTGTCTTGACCGACATCGCCGAGTGCCTGCTCCTGACGAAGCTGCCGACCCTGCGACTCGAGTTGCCCCCGGGCACAGACTACGTCGATCGTCACGTCGGCCCCCTCGCAACCCTGCTCCCTCACCTGCACGACATCTGCGAGCTGAGCAGCGCCATGCTGCACGGCAGCGCCCCCGGTGCCCCGGCCTGTGACGTGGCCGAGGCCCTCGACGCCCTCGAGCTGGCCATTCACGCTTGGCGGCCCCCCATGCCCAAAGGGCTCGCCGCGCGCTTCTCCGCCGCCGAGGTCGCCCACATGGTCTGCCAAGCCCAGACCATGCGCGCCGCGGCCATGCTCATTCTTCACCGGCTGCGGCATCCGTTCGGATCCCAACTTGAATCCGCCCGCGCGCTTTCCTCCACCATCCTCACTCAGCTCGACCTGACCGTCCGGGCCACGGGCAAGGTCCCGCGGTGCGTCGACCTGCCCCTCATCATCGCCTGTCTCGAGCTCGAGGATGAGGCCGTGAGGGCGCGCTGGCTGCGCAGCATGTCGCCCATCGGCGCCTACTCGTCGCCCTTCCACGAGCGAATAAAACGCATGCTCACAACCGTCTGGGCGGGACGTCGTCACTTCTCCGCCATGTACTGGTACCACTTAGGCAGCTTCACCTCGCTGATACCCGACCCCCGGTAGAACTTTCCACGGTTCTCGAGAGACAAGCAGATGCGCCGCGGATGTGGCGACGGGGGCCCTGCTGTCTGCCGTGCAAACCCGTTCCTTGTACACCAAAAATGATGGCGCTTTCTGCCTCCAGTACCCACAAGCAAAAAAGACCCATGCACAAGCGACAGCTGAAGCCGTCTCGACACTGTGTCTTGACGTTGGACAGAAAAACACATATCTGAACCCCCAGCCTGTACGGGATTCGCACTCTCTCGCCCGATCCAGGCGACAAGGAGGAACCACAAGAGACGGGTGCCACCAGCGAGTGCCAAGGGCTGGCCAGGGTGGAGCGGGCTCACACAGGTCACACGCTGTGGACAAAGTGGTTTTCAGACGGGGGAGTGAAAGACGGAATGAAATCACGCCTACGCCTTTCCATGAAAGTAGTCAAATAGCGCGAGGGGCCTCGCCACAAGGCAAGCCGTCAAAGTCCGCAGCCGCAAGTATTTCAAGCATCACGCCGCGCGCATCTTGCACCTGCTGCTGCACGTCAATGTCCCACAGCCAGCGAAACCGCTGTCGCCATTCCTGAGTGAGCTTGGCGCCGTCGTCGCCCACGCCCTCGCGGCACAGGCACAGCAGCTCCGCGTTTTCTTTGCTGGTCGACGCGGCGCGCTGGGCTCGTGGCAGACGCACTGCATCGTAGGCGCGCAGGGCGGCCTCGGCGTGGGCCGGGGTCGTGACGGACGGGTCCGACAGGAGCTCGGTCAGGACGTGCGCGTCCTCGATGGCCTGGCCGGCCCCGACACCCTGATGCGGAGTCGAGGCGTGCGCGGCGTCTCCCATGATGGCCACCCGGGACTTGCAGACAGTGGAGACGTGGTCGAGCTCGAAGATGGCCCATTGCGACGTGTCGGGCATGTACTGCGGAGTGACACGGGAAGCGATTAGATTCGATCGACCACGCCACCACAGACCGGTATGGGTCGCGGCGAAGGAGCATAACCATGACAAGGATAGAGGAATGCACAGAGAGGGGAGCGCGGAGGAGGTCAAAAAAGAAGCGTCACGGACCTTGATCAGGGCGTTGACGAGAGGCCCCATGTGGGCAAAGTCACGCTCCATGACGGCCCTGCTGACAGGACGGATCCAGGCGTCGTCGTCCTTCCAGGTTTTGCCGTACGTGTAGAGGCCGGTATTGACCTTCTGGGCCCGCATGACGGGATAGGTGAGAGCATAGGCGCCCTTGCCGATGTACAGAGTTGCAACTCGGGCGCGACGCTCCCCCACGGCCCGGATAGCCGTCTGCATGTCGAGGACAGCCCGGTAGGCGTACATGCCGCTGTAGCGCGGGCGGCAGCGCAGCGCCTCGTCATGCGGCAGCACCGCCGGCCTGACGCAGGAGTGTATGCCGTCGCAGCCGACGACGATGTCTGCCGTGACCGAGGAGCCGTCCTGGAACAACAAGCGGGGACCGGCACCGGGCGTCTCTTCGACAGTGCGCAGGCGCTTTCCCAGGCGGACCGATTCGGGCGGCAGGAGACTGATGAGAGCGTCAAGTAGGTCGGTGCGACGTAGCGTTGTCTGGCCCGTTGGCGGGGACTCAAGATCCAGGAGCACCTCGCCGGCCCGGGTGCCCGAGGCCCAGACGAACTCGAACCACGTTTGGCGGAAACGCTCGAAACCGGGGCTGTCGGCGTGCGTCGTTACGAGTGAGTCGAAGGCCTCGCGGATCCGGGCGTCGATGAGCGGCAAGATTCGTTGCGCCGCCGGGCCGATGGATAGACCCAGCCCCGTCTCACCCAGGGCCGCCGCCGCCTCGTAGACCTGGACCTGGACGCCGCGTCGGAGCAGCCCGACTGCCAGCGTGAGGCCGCCGATACCCCCGCCCACGATGGCAACTTTGAACTGCTTGGCGCCGCTCATTGAGCCGTCAAGCGTCGGTTGCCGAGGAGGAAGGACAACACAGGGCAGGCGAAGATAGAAAAGGGAGAGTTCGCGCTGATTGCTGCCTCGATTCGGTCTGCGAGAGAGGAACGACAGGACAGGACGAAGACGCCGAGGTTATTCGCCTCGCCTCGGGACTCTAGTCGCCGCGAGCGACCCCCTCTGCCAAATGTTGGTTGGGGGCCGCCTCGGCTCCAAGCATCAAGACCCCTGCAACATCGGAAAGAGGTTGCACCGACATTATCGCTCAAGCTGTCGATCCTACTACTCAAAAAGGTTGCGCCCATATTTCGGAAACTCAGATAACTCGTCTTCGGGTGCGTCGTACTTACAGCTAAGCTCGATGCATGGGTGCTGCTTTTGCGAATTGGCGACAGAAAACTGTACGTGGCCAGGAGAGAAGCAGCAGACGGCACCTCAACCGAGAGTCACACAGGACTGGTGGACTGAGAGAGACGCAACATCCCTAGGCAGTATCACGCCGCGCCGTCGGCAGTGCCCTTCGCCTGCCGCTCAAGCCAATCGCGCCAACCCTGGTCCCTGAGGATGCATCTGACTCGAGCCTGAAGCCAGTCCGTATTTCCCCAGAATCCCCAGGACGCCTGGAACCGACACCAGTCGACGAGGGCCGTCTCCCAGTGGCGAGAAAACTCATCCCAGCCATAGTCCGGCGTCGTCTTTCCCGGTTGAGGGTCTAGGAGGAGAGCCCGGTACTGATCTAGCAAGACCTTCTCGCCCTGACCCATCGGCAGCTCGGCCGGGATGACATGCACGTCGGTAAGCATGTCGAGGGGAACAGAGCAGGTCAAAAGCTTGGCAAGATCGCAGACGCCCAAGCCAACCCCGGCGTACTGGAAGTCAAAAAAGGCGACGCGGTCACCCGAGTCAGTGGAGAAAAGATTCTCAGACTTGACGTCCCCATGGATGCATGTTTCAAACGGCCGGCCGCTGGGGGTGAGAAAGTCGGCGGCCAACTCGGCCACGGACGATAACAAGCCCGGGGCAGGACGACAAAAGGCGACGGACCATTCCGACTCGTCGTCGGCGGCAAGAGCAGCGTATTCCTTGCGCCGGGTGGCGAGATACGTGTACCCTCCGTTGAGCCACAAGCCCTTACCTTGGGCACGACGGCCGAGTTGCCGCCGCCTCGCCTCCTCGAGCGGCGGCAGGACAAATTGGTCGAGGTCTCGCGGCAGCCAGCCCCAGGAGCTGCTATGGAAGCGGCTCAGCCACTCAAGAGCAGCTTTCACCTGGCGCGGAGTGAGAAAGCACCTCTTGTGGCCGGCGACGGGGAATTGAGGTCGTAAGTCGGTCAAGAGGGTAGCCGTGAGGTCCTGAATGCCGTCGGCAACAGCTCTGTCGCGCGAGGACCGCGTCGAGGCCAGACAGCGCGCGACGGCAACGTCGTTCCTGAGATGGGGCGCCAACTCGTCATACAAGTATTGCTCGACCTCGTAGCTGAGCATCTTGCGCAGGTGTCCCTCGTCGCCAGGCCGGACCGACGGGGGGCAGATGAGCTTGAGGACAAGGCGGAGCGGAGAAGAGGCTGAGGTGCCGGCTTGTATTGTGTCTGGTGGTGTGGTCGGCCGTGCCTCGATGGCGCAAATGTGGCCGTAACCTGCCCACAGAGTCTGGAGCTCGGTGCAGGAGACGAGGTCGAGGTTGAGCCAAGAGAGCATGAGCTGGGCCACGCGTTGGGGGTCCAGCAAGGTGGCCATGGAGAACTTGCAGGTGGAGAAGTAGCCGGATCAGAAGAAAGCGAGATGATGAAACCAGAGGTCCCGGCTCAAGCCTTGCGTTTGTGGATGGCGCTGTTGCGTGGGGAACGCGAAGAAGTTGAAGCGCTCGAAGCTTGAACCCAGTGCGAGCACAGTAGTAATTGCGGCAGCATTGGCTAGCGATCACTCGGCTGGGCATGCCTGCATACAGCGAAATCGATACACTCACGGCCGTCAGGTGCTGTCTATCATAATTCGTATTCTGTTCAAACGAGGGACCCTTTGTGCCTCAATGACTGTGGGTTTGTCCCAGTGAAGTGCGCGCTATATTAATTAATTACAAGCGTCGGCCAGAGGCATACAGTGCGCTTTGTTTGTACCTTGGCACCGTACACGAGCTCCGGCTCTTTATCCATCCAATGACGAGGGAGCATCTTGCTCTTCCGAGACGCACCTCGCAACCCACACGAGGTGACATCAATCACCAGATCCATTCTTTCCCATGAACATCTCGATCCTCTCTCTCCCGCTCTCTTTGTCGCAGCGCGCGCGCATCGGTCTGGCAGCTGTTGCGCTCATGGTGCGTACGCGCTCCGCTCCACTCCCCGCACCGACGCAGTCAAAAGCAGAACCAGGCTGACCGTCGAGTAATAGCCCCCGAAGCGCAAACCGGCCGGTGGCGGCGCACCGAAAGCGCGGCAGTCCAAGCTCGCCAAGGAGCACAATGTCTCGGCGCAGGAGGAGGGTGAAATTGAAGAGGCCTGGAGCCTCTTTTCCGAGCCCATGGACGGCGAGAAGAAGGGCGTCATGCCCATCGACGACGTCAAGTCGGCCCTCATGTGGGTGCAACCCGCCCTGAACCTCGAGCTCTCACTTTGGAAGTGGGACGCTAATCAGAGACAGAGCCCTCGGGATCCCGCCGTCGTCGCCCTCGGAGCTCTCCGACTTTGTCTCCATCCTCGACCCGTCGTCGGACGGATACGCCACCTACGAGCCCTTCTTCGCCATCTGCGCGCTCAAGTTCCACGCGCGCAGCGACGGCGATGCCGCCTCGCACCGGGCGCAAGTGGACGAGGCCTTTCGGCTCTTCACCAATGGCGCCGAGGGCCCCATTTCGCTCGCGCACCTCCGTCGCGTGGCCGCCGTGCTCAAAGAGAGTGTCGACGAGGAGATGCTCAAGGACATGATTCTCGAGGCAAACGGCGGGGCTGGCGTTGCGAGAGGCGTGGCCATGGACGAGTTTGACGAGGTGATGAGGACCGCCGGCGTATGGCGGTAGGCTCGAAAGCGGAGAGGGGTTGAAATATCCACGAGGAGAAGCATGCCGGTGTTGGTTTCCCCTTTCTTCCCATTTGGCTGGTCATTGGATTGGAGTCAAAATAGCATGGCGTTGGAGGAGATGTCCTGGGTTCAGGTGTTCAGGGTACGCCCACAGCCACAGCAAGGTTTGGCATTCAGGCAGGGAGTCTCGTGTGAATGCTCTTCAAGTCAGCGCCGTAGAACGCAGAATAGCCCGTTCGGGGCGTGTGAGCAAGAGCCACCAATTCCGAATAGGAGTCATGCCGTCGTGAGTCTGACGAGTCGGCCGGTGACTCCTCTCAAAGCCACAAACCGAGGCCGAAACTCGGGTGAATATGCTTCTTGTTCGTATAGAACCACGCCTTTCCTTTTTCATCGCCTGCTGCCATAGCACGAGGCAAAGCAAGACCGCCGTGTTCAGCATTTGCCCCAGGCACCCATCACACCTGGGGAGCCGGCACCTGGAAGCCAGCCGCCTAAGCCTTAGAAAACCACCCCACTAAAATCGCTCTCACAACCTCAAGCTGAGCCTTTGCCACACAACCACCAACCCAAACTTACCGTGACCGCGCCACTCACTCCATCTCATGGTCTGCCTTGCTGCTGCTTCAACTTCGTTACTGTGCTTCTAAACATGAGACAGCCCCAGCGGCTTCTGCGCCAGGCGAACGCAAGACATGGACTCCGCTCCGGATGACGATGACGCGCGCGCCGTCGAGCTCGAGACCCTCATGGCCATCTGGCCCGAGATACGGCACCCGCTCGACGCCGACGGACCGGAGCATGGCGACTCGGCGCCTTCCAGATTCACCTTTGAGCTCGAGCTGCCCGTCCGCCCCGCGCAGCCCGTGACGGTCCTGTTCCCTGCGGCTTCGCCATCTCAGCACGAGGTCTCGGGCGCGTCGGGCTCGGCACCGCCAGACCCTGTCGACTCGCTCCTCGTATCGCACTTGCCCTCCCTCTCGCTACGCGTCACTCTCCCAGACGGCTACCCGGAGACGCACCCGCTACAGGCCACCATTTCCACCACTCCCCAGTGGCTTTCGCGCGACACTCTGGCCAGCCTCGAGGATCAAGGGGCCCGGCTCTGGCGGGAGGCCGGACGCGACCTCGTCGCCTACGCCTACATTGACCACGTCCAGAGAACCGCCGATGACGTCTTTGGTGTCGTCTCACCCGAGGGCACGCTCGAGGTCAACCCGGCGCACAAGCTGGCCGTGCTCGACTACGACATCAAAGCCAAGAGAGCGGCGTTTGAAAAGGGATCCTTTGAATGCGGCGTATGCCTCGGTGAGTCATGCCGGGCTTCGACGGGCTGCCGCGCCACTACCCTCAGTTCCGTCGCTCTCGGGCTAACTGGCCCGCCTCGCCAGACCCGAAAAAGGGACCTTCATGCCACCAGATGGTCGACTGCGGACACATCTTCTGCCTTGGGTGTCTGCGGGACTTTTATGGCGATGCCATCGATCAGGGCAACATATCCTCGGTGCGGTGCCTGACGCCAAACTGCGCCAAGGAGCGCGCCGCTGCGGCTCTCGCCTCCAACAGCGGCCCGTCGCGCCAGGGCCGCAAGCCAAAGACCTTCATCAGCCCCAGCGAGCTGCTGCAGATTGGGCTCTCCGGGGACGTGGTCAAGCGTTACGTCACGCTCAAGTACAAGACGGAGCTCGAGTCAGACAAGGACACCATCTACTGCCCGCGGCAGTGGTGCAACGGGGCCGCGCGCTCCAAGAAGCACAGGAAGCCCGAGGGCCTCGAGTTCGCCGAGACATCAGACGGCGAGTCCGAGCAGGGGGCGGATGGAGATGAAGGAGACGAACCCGACGAGGAGGCTGCGGATGAGGGCAGAGCGGTGGAGACGAGCAGGAAAAAGGAGCAGGTCAAGGCCGCCAAGTTCAACCCGGCCGACCTCTTGTGCGTGTGCGAGGACTGCGGCTTCGCCTTTTGCGCGCGCTGCCTCCAGACGTGGCACGGCGAGTTTGTGCGCTGCGCCCCGCGGCGCAACAAGGACGAGCTCACCGAGGAGGAAAAGGCGTCGCTCGAGTACCTGCAGCTGCACACCAGCCCCTGCCCGACGTGCAGCGCCCCGGCGCAGAAGACGCACGGGTGCAACCACATGATATGCTCGCGGTGCGATACACACTTTTGCTACCTGTGCTCGGCGTGGCTCGACCCAGCGAACCCCTACCAGCACTACAACCAGCAGGCCGACGGCAAGGTCACCTCGTGCTACATGCGCCTGTGGGAGCTCGAGGGCGGCGACGGCGACGACGTCGGCCTCGGCTTCCACGGCGGCGGCGGCTTGGACCTGCAGGCTGATGACGGCGCGGTGGATGCGCTCTTTGACCTGGACGAAGAGTCGGGTGACAGCGAGTCGGAGAGTGAAGACGAGGACGCGCAGCAGCAAGAGCAGCAGCAGCAACAGCGACAGAGGCTACCGGTCGGTCGCGCTGGCGAGCCCGTCGCCGTGGCCCGGGAAGCGCCCCTGGTCCTCCGCCTCCTGGACAACCAGCAACCCCGTGGAGGAGGCCGACGTGGCGGCCGGGCCGGGCACCCCCCTGAACCCGCCCATCATCACCACCATCCAGGCGGCAGGGGAGCGGGCAGGGGAGGAAACAGGGGAAGAGCACCAGGTCCTGCCGCCGGCGCCAGGGGTCGCGGCCAGAACCCACGGCCTCAGCGAGGCGCACCCCCGAGAGCAATGGACGCTCGTGGGCGCGGGCAAGGACGCGGCGGCGGCGCCAGAGCAGCAGCAGCAGCAGCAGCCAGGGGCGCGCGGGGCAGGCGAGGACGCGGCGGCGGCGTGGAACAGCAGCAGCAGCAGCAAGCCCCCCCGGCGGCGGCGGCGGCGTGGGACGACGCGTTCGGGCTCGATGCGGCGGCGGCGGCGTGGGTGCGGCACTTTGTGCAAATGGCCCTCATCGACGCCGAGGACGAGGGAGACTCGGAGTCGGACGACGGGGTGCGGCCATGATCCAGTGACGGCGCGACGGTATGTAAACCCCCCCCTTCCCCCGATGTCTCTATGGAAAAGGGGGGGGGGGTCAGGGTAAGGATAGGTTTCTAGAGGCTCGCTACGCCATGAATTGACGACGACGACGATGTTTGAATAGAAAAATGACGAGGCCCGCATAAATGAGATTCGCCAAAGCACGCCCTGGAGCATTCATCGGCCCCCTCCCCTGTGATTCGCTTCGCTGCCACGAGGCGCCACCCAGCACGCCAAAAAGTGAGATTACGAACACGTCGGAACGAAAAAGCGATCAAAGCGCGCCGGACCGCCACGAACGGCAAGCCATTCGCCACTCCTCGTCGGCCTCCTACTACTCCCTCGAACCAACCCCCCCCCCCCGGGCGTCCAGTCCCGCGAGTCATCTAATCCACCCTGCCCTTCCCCCCTACCTGCAGCGCAGCCCAGGCTCGGGGGAGGGGCGGCGGCGCTGGGCATCGTTCGTCCACCGGCCACGGGACATTGCGTGAGGTTGTGCTTGCGAGCCATCGATCAAGCTCCGCCGGCTCAGAACCACGGCCCGCAGCAAGCTTCTTCCTGGCCGGCGAGCTTGGCGAGCTTTGCGTACACATACGAAAGGCGTGTATGTGTGTACTGTACGTACGGAGGACTGCGTATACGTACAGTATGCATGTGGGCACATCTCCCGCTCCCCAGAGGGCCCAGACTACGGGCTGCAGGACCCTGCCTGTGCTGGACGCTTGCTTATCCTCCGCATACATGTCTGTCTCTTTCTCGAGACAAAGTGACAGATGAAGGAGAGATACATACAGTATACACGCAACAAAAGGGGAAGAGGGACGGCAAGGCCACCAAGGACATGCGGCCCAACATGCCTACTCGGTACGTGGTGCCCCCCGTTGAATACCTCCCAAGCTTTCATCGCTTGCGTCTGGAGAACCCCCGTTCCCGTCTTGAGGGTCGTAGAAGAAAAGGGGTGGGCAAAAGGGGGAAAACAAGAGAGAGATGCCTCGACGACCAGATACGGTCCAACCACCGGGCACCCTCATACTTGGTAGATATGTACAAGCCCTCCACACGCGTGAAGCACCACATCGCGGATACCGCGCCATCTCGAGGACAGTGGGAGGAGCGCGAGGGAGAGGGAGAGCATCGCCGCCCCCAGGATAGCGCCTCCATGCGCACATGGTAGATACACTCAGAGCGCCAGCCCACGAAGAGCAGCTGCTATACAAACAGCTTTTGTTCCTCCGTACGTCCGCTCCAAAACCTGCACGTCTGCCGTCCAGGCACGGGGGGCAGCCACAAGACCAGTCACGATCCCTCCACAGCGGCCCAAGGCAGCGGCCCCCTCCACATCCCCCGCCGTCTCTGACAAGGAAGAACGCGGCAAAAAGGGGGTGGGAAGGCGAAGAAATAAAAGGTCCGAAGGAGAAAAAAAAGGGGGGCGAGGCGCTCTCCCGATGTCCTCGGCGCTGACCACCCCCATCTTGGCAGACAGGGGCATGGCACCAGCAACAGCAGCGGGACTGCCGAAACAAACCGACAACAGCACGCCACGCGATTTCTTCTCGAAGACGAGAGCAGGGAGCGAAATGAGCGAAGACTGAAATCCTTACAAGGCGTATATACATACTAAAAGTACACGTGAAGGCGGAAAAGTTTGTGGAAAGGGGGTGAATGGGGAGCACCAGCTTCTCGAGCATGTGCATTACACGTACACATCCATGGCAGTTCCCGGACGGCATCGACTGGACGAACGCACTGGGCTGAGTACCCGGCAGGGACCGAACACGAGCTGAAGACGGTCACAAGCAACAACTTGGCATCACAGGTCCGAGGGGGAAAGTCTGTCCAGTGAGGGGAAGAGACGAAGCAAGGCAGTGAGCATAATATAAATAAGAGCACCTGTGCCGTGGGTCACGGCACGCCGTGAGCATGGATGACCTCGATCAGCCCTCTCTCCAACCCCCCTTGTATCTCTCCGCGCGTTCCGCAAGTTCACGCGCAGCAACCCTCGCACATGGTGTTCAAGGGGCGGTAAAAAGCGGATTTTCTGGCTTTGACGTCAGGGTGCCGATGACAGCCCCAGCCGAAGGGCATGTGCTATATGTAGATGCACACATACGCGCGCACGCAGCTCCTGTGTGACGGCGAATGGTGCCGTTCATCTCTTTTTATATCTCCCCCTTTATTTGCTCCTTCATGCGGCAGCGGCAGAAAGGGGGGGAGGGGGGCAGAACAGGAACTTTTCACAGGGGCATGACCTTGCGCGGACAGCCTTTGAAAACAAGGCGGGGGAGAAAGAGTGGCAAGCACCATCATAGGTGGGCATATGGCCAGGGAAGCTGCACGGTCAAGGAGGGGGAGGGATAGGGGAATGAGGGGGGTGTTGATGTCGCCTTGCGAGCCCTACCGAGAGTCCAGTCACAAGGCTTTGGAGAAGACGGGCCTGTGTTTCCGGCGTGGATGGAGGCAAGGCAGGCAGCAAAGGCAAGGAGCCAACCGCTCTGCGCCCTCGACGTCAAAGCAGCCGGACACGGGCGAGCCCATCATGGCGCAGTAGTGACGGCTCAAGAGACTCCTGACTAGCTCCTATGTGAAGCAACGGAGGGGCACAGGACTAGCCGAAGAGGTCGTGTGGAGGAGGAAGAGAGGGGGGTGCCTTGGGCGAACAAATGATCAGAGCAAGGCATGCATCTGGAGAGAAAGGGGGGTGGGTCGGTCATAATTGTCGTCGTCGTGGCAGAGGGCGACGGCATCGCCACCAACCCCTGCTGCTATATCATCGACGGGCCCTCGCACGATCAGAGACCCAGCACGCACCGGCTCTGCATTGCGGGGTATATGTGTCTGTATGTATGCGCCGTCAGTCTGTGGTTTGCATCTGTTTGGGTGTGAGCGAGAATGATGCGTGCAAGGATGGGGGTACGGGCAACGGGAATGCCATGCCTGGTAGCGGGTACTCTGCCTCTTCCTGGCCAACAAGGCAGAAAAGGAGCATCGTCGTCTGGCCTCTTGCGGTTGAGGGTGTCGCGGATCCCCTCCTTGCCCGCAGAGATCACGAGGTGTCGTCGCTTGAGACGTTTCGGTTCGTCCTTGACGGGTGCAGCCGGTAGCGAGACGGAGTGAGCGAGACACAGGGGGGGAGCCCTTGGAACAACCACGGGCCTCGGGGCAAGGGGTAAAGACGGCCGACGACGACGCCTCCGCCACCACCGCCGCAGCGCGCCTTGGCTCGGCGGTGAAGCCGCGTTGTGGTTTGAAACCGAGACCAGCATTTGGTGTTTGGGGAAATGGAGAGAAGAGAATGTTTGCAGGAGAGCAACCAAAGGGGCTCAGCCGCTTTGGCCTCGGGTTCGCGCAAACGGCAACAGCGACGTCTTTCTTTCCAGATCGGACGAGAGACGAGGAAGGGGCGAAGGGGGCGGTGGCTTCTACGCGCAACCATGACAGCACGCCCCGGATCACACAATGACAAAGGTCACAAGTCCCGAGCGGCATAGCAACAAGGAGAGTGCCATTCAAAGTAAACAATAGAAAAAGCTTCCGTCTTCCCGCCCATGGCGGCACATGGCTTCCTTGCGCAAGTTGACAGTCTCCCTGATTAACTCGGCGTGTAAGTCCCTAAGTACTTTATACAATCCGTTCGCTGTACTCCGTACTGTTAACAAAAAAGACGAGAAAAAATACCTCCACCCACCCACCATCGCGATTGGTCAAGTGTCAAGTTCCACGCCGGGCCGTCCTGGTTGGTGGGGGCCGCGTTTCCCTTGGCGAATGAGACGAGAGCATTTGCCTCCCCAATCCGGCTTGCCGCCCCAAGTCTTCTTTGCCTTTTTAATCCATGCATTTATCCATGCGCCCTTTTAAACTTGTCTGGCCCGCCCCCGTCTCTCGGATAATTTTCCTTCCAGGCCCTGCCTGTCTGCGGCTTGCTTTTAGCCTTCCGACCTAACAATCTGATCCGTCCGTTTCACTGATGAGTAAAGTTTTGCGACGCGGCCGTTTGGCGCCTCACCCCGTGTCCGAAGTTTACACTGTCAATTATCATCGAATAACAAACAACTCCTGTCCTTGGTCTCGTGCGTGACCCCCTAGAAAACCTTGGGTCAACGCTTCCGGCCCGTGTCACTTGTCTGCTTCGCGCGCTCAATCCGAGAATCCGAAACCACTTTTTATTTCCCTCACGCACGGCTGCTGCACACACACACACACATACACACACACGATCCCTTTGCTTTGCCCCGGCGGCCCAAGAGCCGGCTGTCGAGCTTCAGCGAACTTGCGTCGTCATTCCTCACTTACACCTGGGCGTGCACAGCCAATCTCTTTGATCAATCGGGTCTCGGCATCATGCAGACTCACGAGCCCTATCCAACCGCACTCCATGTACATGCTCAGCGTAGACCGTAGCCCTGCATCTCAACAGACTCATTGGCATTCCCGTGACCCTATCGCTCTGTCATGTACAGCCCTGCCCAGATGCAAATGTGCGCTCCCAGGCCCAAGTTGCGCCATCTCTCCGCCACGGCGGGTCCCCCTTGAACCGGGTCATCTGCTGCCCAGGCCGGCCAAGCTGATGATGCCGATTCTAGGCATCGCGGTCGCCAAGTCTTGCCAATACACAGGCACCAGGCTAGCGACCCTTTGTCTTGATTGTCTTGGACACGGCGCTGGTGCGGAGATCAATGTCCAGAAAATGAGTGGGCCGGCCGGAGCAACGGAGGCCCTGGTCTCAGCCCGGCATCCTTTCCATGTGCGTATGCGTATGCACCTGTCGACTCATCTGTCCACCGGTTCGAGTCTTGAAACCACGGGCATGGAGGGTGCTCCCCCTCAATATTCGACTTCCGGAGGGTTCCGCCAGGCCCGACGGGCCCGAGGGCCTATCTGCAGAATATTGTACGTAAATCGCGCCCTCGGTCCTTTGGAAATTGTCGCGCGTTGCTGTCTCGCGGCCTCGACGAGCATGACGTCTGCACCTCCAAACCTTGTGCTAG